TTTCAGAATTCACTGCTTTCATCAAGTAAAGAAAACCCATTTGCTCTTTCATCTGTGTATCATCTCACACTAATTTTCATCAAAACCAGCCAAACCTTTATGGACTACCAGTCCCCAGGATTCCTGCAGGACTCCCCTGTCTGCCTCTGATATAAGCAGAATTAGGCTCTGAGTCTGAACTGTGAAAAATTTGAGTTGTTTTTGTAAGCTACGGTAAGCACAGTGTTTATATCTGGAAAATTGACCTATCGATTATTGATGATTGTTTTCCTAAACAGAGAATCTCATGAATTTCACATGCTTTTGACTTTTTTGGTCTTTAAAACTCTTATTCCAAATCTGACATCTTCTGTGTGCATCAAGCGGACCAATCTTAAATACAAAGAAATGCGACCTATTATTATCTCATATTCATGAGAAAATAAATGCCATTGCTCTATGCATCCTACCTCTTTTTTAGGAAGTTGTCCCTCTCCATACCAAATCCTCATTCATTTACTTATGAAGTTCTTTGTCTCAGCTGACATTGTGATCTGTTCTTAGTTAAATTTGAACACTGACTCATTATCTGTTGCCATGGATGATGAGATGACAATGCTGCTCCGGAAGTTGATGATACTCGCCTAGGTCTACATCAAAGCTGCCAATATTTATTGCTGAGAGTACTGCCTCTACAAGAGCTAAAATAGCTATGGTTTGAGCACAGAGTCTTATCACTGGAACAGCCATGATGCCGGGTCCCAAGGCCATAGAAAATTTAATAAGCCATTCATATGCCAAGGCCACATTATGTATTCTGTAACTTACCTTATTCTAAAATAATGACGTATTTCATATCAAAATGACATCAATCACTTTCCCTTATTTAAATTTCAGTGCACTGAATGCTTTGAGTTCTGTGCTTTAAAAATCTTATAGCCTCCATTTATTATGGTTTTGGCTCAAATGCCTTAGTGGCAAATGTTGTGTATATTGGGGAGAAAGGAAATCCATGAGGAAGTCAATTGGGGGTAGTCTAGTAAAGGAACAGTGTAAACTAAACTCTGCCATTTTTCTCAGCCTTCCATGACAAATCCATTGTTTGCTTGGTCTCTGTCTTCCCACAAGGTGAATTTGCTGTAAAGGGACCTTATGAATCCCTGAAAAGTTTAACTCCCTGGTGTTTTATCCTCAAGCCTCCCTAGTTACTTCTATATGTATTAACTCATGATGAGAGATAAGACACCATCATACCACTTCCATTCCACTATGTAAAAAAGGTTTCAGGTACTAAAGGTTTTACGGATAGAGTCTCAGTCAAATATGGGAATATTATATGTCAGCTTCAGTGACAAAACAAACCTTAAATATAACAATATTAGTTTTATATCTTAAACTATAATTTAACTGAAAAGAGAACAATCCTATCGGTGTCATCATCTTCAAGCAAAAGAGTACAGAGCTGAGTGTACAGTCATTGTTAAAATGAAAGAAAAGTACATAAATCAGAACACTAAGAAAGACGATTATAGATTTGGAGGAGAGAGAGAATGGAGGACCAAGCTTAAAATTATAGGAATTTCAGAGTGAAAAAAAATGGAAACAGACAAAATAATGAATGACATAATAGAAGAAAACTTTCCTGAGCTAAAGAAATTCTTCATTCTATAGATTAAAAAGGATCAATAAGTTTGTAACAAATGATTTAATCAGGTATGCTTTTGTAAAAGTACACATGCCTAAATTCAATCCCTGAAGATTCTGATTGATTGATAACTGTATTTTTTAAATGCTTCACAAGTGATTCTGATACATATCCTTAGTTTCACAATGATTCTTCTAAACATACTTGTTATAGAAAAGAATAAGTATAATCTAGTTTTGTTTTTTTTTTAAATTGAAAGAAGTAGAAGGGGAAAAGGAGGAAGAAGAAAGGAAAGAAAGAAGAGAAAGATAGTTGATGTTTTAAAATCAGGAAGAGAGTAAGTAAGAATGGTTTAAATGAGTTAAATCCTTGCCTATTTTAAATTTATTATTATTATTACTTTTTTTTATTTTGATAGAGAGAAAGCAAGGGAGGGACAGAAAGAGACGCTCAGGCAGGCTCAGCACTGTCAGTTCAGAGCCTGACACGGGGCTGGATCTCATGAACTGTGAGATCATGATCTGAGCCAAAATCAAGAGTTAGATGTTTAACCAACTGAGCCACCCAGGTGCCCCAATTCTTACCTATTTTAATATGAGGTTCACATATATTGTAAAAAATTAATAAATCAATAAATAGTAATATCACATCACCTGGAGAAAAAAAGTTAATCACTGAAAAACAGTTACAATTGTTACAAGTGGTTTCCTCTATAGGTTAAGTCTTTTGGTGCGAAGGACAGGCAAATATTATAAGACTGTACATAACACTTTTATTATTCCCATGCACTAGTTTCAAATAAAATGCTAAAAAATGAAAAAGTGATATAATTTTATTTATAATAATTACTAACACTTATTGAACATTTATTCTTTCCATGTTACAACCATACTAAACACTTTAACTGTATTACCTATTTAAACATTGAAAAAATCCCTACATAGTAGGTAAAATTATACCTATTTTCCATAGGAATAAACTGTGGCTTAATGAAGTTAAGTAACTTGTCTAAGGTCATAGAACTAAAAATTTCTTCTAGAATTAACATAAATATCAATGCTTATGATAATTGTACATAATAATTAGGAACCTCTTTCATATCAACATGTTTATCATATTTTAGTAGTATTTTGAGAAAATAAACTTTTACTTCAATTTTACACTTTCAGAAATATGCTGAAATTTGCTAATATGCTAACTGCTAGTTTTCATTTTGTCCAGATTATGTTAATTTTCTTAACAAACGTAACACAGTAATGAACACATTATAGAAGGTGTCACTTTCACATTTCTCCAGAGAGTCTCAAGGTTGCAACATCATTATTGAGAGACTGTCAAATATCAAAAAACAGCTTTCCTTTGGAAAAACAAAACTCAAGTGACTTTGCCTTCTTGTTTTTTTTTTTTAGCTTAGTTTCTCACCTCTTCTTCACTGTTTTTCTTCTGCATTCCTGATCTTCAAAGAAAATTATTAATCTCTGACATTCAGTATGAAGAAATATATAAAGCTGATTCTTCCAGAGAACCAAAATATTACACCAAAAATAACATAAAATGAGTCAAACTGTGGAGTGAATGTCTGTCCAAACATTCCTCTAGGACAGGGATTGGCAAACTCTGACCCACTGGCCAAATGCAGCCCAGTGCCTGGTTTTGTTTTTGTACATCTTGCCAGCTGTAATTGGTTTTCATAATTTAAATTGGTTGGGGAAAAAAAATTGAAGAATAATATTTTGTAACATGTGAAAATTATGTGAAATTTACATTTCAGTGCCTATAAATAAAGTTTTATTGGAGCAGGGTCTCACTCCTTCATATATATATTATCTATGACTGCCTTTATGCTACAACAACAAAGTTATATTTGCCGAACAGACTAGATGCCTCTGAGAGCCTATAATACTTACTATCTGGACCTTTGCAGAAAAAAAAAATTACCATATTCTGCTCTCGGACAATGAAAACTTTCTAAGTGTCAGTACTAGCTATTATTAATGGAGAATAAACACTCTCCAGTTTTAGAGGTCTTAATAACATCATCACCGCTTTCAGGCAAATAACAAACCAAAAGTTACAATGCAGATGTAACCTACTCAGGCATTTACATGAATTCACACAAACTATTAAGAAGACAAATGTAGTGAGCAAAAAGTTCATTTTTATTTTGTGATATTTAGATATACACTGGATACACCTCAAGTTTGTTGGAGACATTATCTCCCATAGTTCCATTATTTTCAATAAAAAGACAATTGCTTCTGTAGGAAGAAAGCATATCCTGCTACAGCTGTATCAACAGAATATTCTTTTCTTTTGGAATGCAGCTGACATTGCATGTCAAGTTTGACATACTTGGCCAATGATGCAAAATATGACCTTCAATGCCCATGAGCATAAGTTTGGAAGACTTCCCCTGAATGAGTTTTATTTTTTTTTTAATTTTTTAAAATTTTTTTTGGAGGAAGGGGGCTGGAGGATAGAACTATGGGTCCTTATTTTTTTATTTTATAATTTATATGCTTTATTTAATTCACAATTCTATAAAGTATTTGATTAAAGTATTCAATCTTCTACAACATTTTTCTTATGTAGAGATTTTAAACGCTATATTTAAACACTAAATATAGATTTTTAACACTATAGATTTGGAGTTTTTTTTTTTTTAATTTTTTTTTCAACGTTTTATTTATTTTTGGGACAGAGAGAGACAGAGCATGAACGGGGGAGGGGCAGAGAGAGAGGGAGACACAGAATCGGAAACAGGCTCCAGGCTCTGAGCCATCAGCCCAGAGCCTGACGCGGGGCTGGAACTCACGGACCGCGAGATCATGACCTGGCTGAAGTCGGACGCTTAACCGACTGCGCCACCCAGGCGCCCCTAGATTTGGAGTTTAAACTAAGTACTAATCACTGACCATGGGCAATGTCAGGGGAGATTTCTAAGAATTGTTTGCTATTGAATTCAGAATATTCCTCTAGCAACCATCTATTCAAATAAACACTGTTTTGATTTTTAGCATTCATAAATTCTCTTAGTGAACAATAAACAAGAACAGCAATAACAACAACAATACTATTTCCATGTTTCAAATGTGTTCTTAAATGGTTCCACCTAAATCTCCCAAACTCCAGGTCTGGAAATACTTACCGATAATAAAATAACTTTCAGTTGGTTAATCTAATATTCTTGGTCTATACTAGCATTAAAAAAACCATAATTTAACTGAGTAAACTTGAAAGTCAAATTGGCATTATTCAACAATTCATGAATTGGGGAGCATCCCATCTAGCAAATTGAGAGGAGATCCAAAAAGCTGTACAAAATGGAAGAATTTAATAAACAGAAGGGGGCAGGGGCAAAGAAAGAGAGGCTTACCTCATCTTCTGGGGGGCGGGACAGGAGGGATCTGTCAGGCAGGTTTCCTTACTATTGCTGACCAGGAAATTTCGGATTGACTGGGTTAAGATACGATTACTGGGAAAAAATAAAACTGCAATTAGGTTAGGTACCAAGTCTTGGTTTGCTGAGGGCATTTAGCACAGCTGACTCCGTTTTGGACCTGTTTCTTTTTTAAACACCAGCAAACCCATCTTAATTGTCATTTTAAGTCGTTACAATAAAAGCCTACTGAATGTTGAAGACTTATCTATCATAGTTATATTATAAAGTTATATATAGTTAGCCTATAGTACATTGACAAGCAGATAAGCTACATTGTCTGACTTCTAGAAGAACTAAACACAATTTATATGCATATGAAATTGGAGGCTGATATGCACCTGTCTAGATAAATAGACACTTGCTTTATAGTCACTGTGAAGAGGTACTGAGACGAAGGCATTCAGAAAGTCCCATTCTCTGTGTGAGCATTAACAAACTGAAGAGCAAATATAACTTTATCCATTGTCCCCAAAAGAACAATGACATCACTAAATTATTACTGTAGGAATTAAAATATTTTCCTAGAAGATCTAAATCGCAGGATGGTGAATGAAACACATTTTACACAGTCTTTCACTTCTTTGACCTATTGAAAGTGTCCAATGTTGTTTATGCTTACCCTGAAAGTCAAGAGTGCCTTGTGAGGTATTAAATAAATCCTTTCTTTCTTGAAATGATGTAGTTTTACATGTAAGTATACTTTTGAGAAAAAAGGTGAGTAATGTTCCTTCAAGTGACACTGGACTTCCCACCAAATCCTGCTCACCATAGAGGGACTCTAAACAGGTGATTTCTGGGGCGCCTGGGTGGCTCGGTCGGTTGAGCGTCCGACTTCGGCTCAGGTCATGATCTCACGGTCCGTGAGTTCAAGCCCCGCGTCGGGCTCTGGGCTGATGGCTCAGAGCCTGGAGCCTGCTTCCGATTCTGTGTCTCCCTCTCTCTCTGCCCCTCCCCTGTTCATGCTCTGTTTCTCTCTGTCTCAAAAATAAATAAACGTTAAAAAAAATTTAAAAAAAAAACAGGTGACTTCTGCCTAGACTTCCCCTTCCGCTCTACAGGGGACATCACTAAGATGCACCAGGTTCTACCTGCCATCCATTTCTTCTTTTGTTTTTGTCACAAACAGTTGGCCAAAACAGGTTGTTCGTTAGAAGAAACACCTCCAAGTTGTTGCCACCTTCCATAGATTATCTAAAGACATTATTTGTGGGTTTCTCTTTTTAAAAAATTAAAGAATAAATGCCTAGAATCTAAAACAGTCTTCGCAACGCTCGATTCTTTCCAGTCTCTCTGAATGAGATGCTATTGCAAATGTAAGTTCCGATAATTCATCACCTTAAATCATTGGTCTGAAAGAGCAGGGCAAGACTATTAGAAGTGTTTTCAACATATTGCACTAAAAAAAGTGTCAGTATCTCTCCTTTCTCTGACTTCAAGAGAATCACACGGATGGGACATTGGAAGTAGTGGTTTTGGGTGCATATGGCAAACCTCCCATCTCCAAGTTTATGATGAATGTCAGTGAAGTTTGTGGCTGGATAACAGTAGTCCTACATCAAGGAGATTTATGGGGAGGATGCATTTAGTATTATTCATGAGCCACTTAACAAGCTTCAGCCAAGGATACAATATAGCCTTTGTTTATAGTCCCAGGAGGTCTTTAGAAGGCCTTTGAAAATTGAAGAGATTTTTTGATAAATGGCAGAGGATCTTGAGGTGGGCCTGAAAGCTAGAAGTGTATTTTCCTGTTAACTTGAAGAGTCCTACATTTCATCCTAACTTCCCTGTTTCCTCAATAAAAAATTATCAGATATTCTGCTGGTATTTTATTTTGCTATTGTTCTGCTACATTAAATAACCAAGAGGGACACATTTTGTAGAAAAATGTTCATTTCACTCTCTATTACAGGAAGTTGGAGCATCTTAACAGGCTATCCAGACTATTTGAACAGAAATGAAGCAACATACGTTTGAAACTGTCTTTTATATTATATTCTTTATGTTTATGACCCACATTCTTCTCAATGAATCATTATTTATGGCAACTTATGTGTATAATAGTTTCGACTTAACCAAGAACTTCAGTTCTGCAGCTAACTGAAAGAGCTGGGAATCAGACAATTGCACTGGTGTGGCGGGGTTGAATTAAATTAGGAAATCAATTCCACCAGTCTTATTAGTGTGAGAAAGAGTAGATGCCTGATAGAACTGTTAACTAAGGGCTGTAGTTGACATATTTAGACAGGAATTGTTAAAATATTTTGGAAAATCACTGGCTTTCTGAGCAATTTACAACCAAAAAAAAAAATGTGACCATGTTAATAAGCAGGAAATCAAAGTACTTTTATTTTAATGAAAACAGAGAACATGACAAGGATTTCACCTTACTTGATTCTTAAAAGTGCTTCAGAAGCATGTTTATTCAATCCATTTTATGGCCACTTTGCATAAGGTCTTGGATTGGAATGTGCCTGAGTCTACAGTTTGAGCTTTAAAAAATAACCATACTGTTGAAGAGGGAAGCCTCATCGGAACGGTGTGGCTTATAGGTTTTATTTTATATCTGATGCTTTTTATGCAGAAAGCTTTATGCTACATAAACTGCTTCACTCTCAAGCCCATTCTTCCCTCCAATTTCAATTATGGAGCCACTCAAACCGCAAGAGGTAGGGCCTCAGACTTCCTGTCCCCTACAGTGTCTAATATCACTCCAGCGTGGAAGCAACTCGCAGAATCATCTGGCTTAAGTCCATTATTTATTAGATGCAGACACAGACAAGTTACTTACAAAACATCACACCATTTGTGAGGTGCAGGAAACTTCTTTATAAGAATTTCTTTTTTAATGTTCGTTTATTTTTTTTAAGAAAGAGTGAGAGTGTGCAAGCGTCAGGGGAAAGGGAAGAGCAGAGACAGAGGGAGAGAGAGAGAATCCCAAGCAGCTCCATGCTCAGTGAGGAGCCTGACACAGGGCTCGATCCCACAACTGTGAGATCATAACCTGAGCCAAAATCAAGTCCCATGCACAACTGACTGAGCCACCCAAGAACCTGTGAGGGTTTCTTAATCTATCTCTTATCAAATCCCAGAGATGTTTGAGGATGGTTTAAATGCCCTGTGAGACAGTCAGCAAAACTACTAAATCAATGTGCCTGGAGAGAACACATTTTTAAGAAGACATATCTCGGGGCGCCTGGGTGGCTCAGTCGGTTAAGCGGCCGACTTCGGCTCAGGTCATGATCTCGCGGTCCGTGAGTTCAAGCCTCGCGTCAGGCTCTGTGCTGACAGCTCAGAGCCTGGAGCCTGCTTCCGATTCTGTGTCTCCCTCTCTCTCTGCCCCTCCCCTGTTCATGCTCTGTCTCTCTCTGTCTCAAAAATAAATAAACGTTTAAAAAAATTAAAAAAAAAAGACATATCTCATAACTGCTTGGACTTTAAACCAAGTTTAAAATATAGCAATATTGAAGCATCGAAATTTAAATATAGTGTGGCTGTTGAAAAAAAAATGTGAAGCCGTCATAAACAATCTACTGGCTAGATACTGAAAAATACACCACTTTAAATAATTCAACACACACAAAAGACATGCTAAAATAATTTGAAGGTTAACACATAAAAGCAGGGACAGAGAGAGGAGGGAAAAAGAAGGCTCACTCAAAAATTCTATTAATCCTCACTAATGTTCTGTTTGGCCTCCCCTAGGCACTAATTCTTCGGGAGAATGCCAAAATGCTAGATGATATTACCTTGAGTTTCCTGAGCAGAGAGCTCCTTTTAATAGTATGATACAGCAATGTTTATGTTATAAAGGCTAGCAAGTAAACAGGGGATAATGTTTGTAAAGTGGAAAGTCAATCTGGAGTTCATGAAAGGTATTTTGTTTACACCTCAAATAAGCTCGGTAGCCGGCCAAATAATTATCATGGCCTTCCTTCATTGTTGACATCAATTGCCATTAATACATGCAATGAGGAATTTTGCTGGGGCCAGCATTTTAAAATTGAAGACCATCTCTAGGAACATACTTGTTTATTAACTCCTGTGGCCAGTGGCACCAGCCCTAGCGTGGGCAGTGAAAATGGTGCATTTCTTTACTTTAGCTGCTGGCATTTTTTAACATCCCGCTAATTCAAATCTTCAGACTAATAATCTATATTGGGCAAGGCAAGCGTGCTTTAAAGCAAGGGTGCTGACAGTTTGCAGATAAAGGGAGCAAATGTCTTTTAAAAATCGCTACAGGTGCTTATCTTGTTCTGTCAAGGCAGTGATTAGAACACGCAAATATGATCGGGTTCACTGATCAAGGTGATGTGAGTGACTGCCAACAGAAGCCCCGACATAAAGATCCGGGCCTGGTATTATGTCTTTTCAAAGTTAAACTTATCCATATAATCATTTCTTTGGCTGAAATAGAGATCATCTCTAGAGGTGACAAGCAGTTGGCCCTCTCTCTCTGCAAAATTTTATCTCCTTGTTAATAAGAAGTGATTCCATGCCCAAATGTAAAGTTTGTATTGGAAGTAAAATTCTTTTTTCCTTCTGTAAACGTCACAGAGAATCAGTTTCAAGATCTTGAAAATGTTGTAGGTTTTCATATTGAAATTCACATAGAAACATAGTGGGACGTATATGTTCCTGATGTGAGTTCCCACTTATCATCCCTCCCCTCTTTCCAGAAGGACCTATCAGCTTGGAAAGTTGTGCTCCGACTTTGGGTTCAGGCTGCAGACAGGTCAGAGTGAATTCCAGGCGGAAGCAAATGGAAAGTGGAGAAATGGAAGCAAAGATGAGAGAGCAGAGCAAAATCTGTCTGAGACACAATCAACTCTCGTCAGATGATTAAACTTCTAACCATTGCAATCCATTCCCCTTTATTCTTTCCTTCGTTCACTACTCGTTTAAGAGCTCGGGGGGCGCCTGGGTGGCTCAGTCGGTTAAGCGTCCGACTTCGGTTCAGGTCACGATCTCACAGTCCGTGAGTTCGAGCCCCGTGTCGGGCTCTGTGCTGACTGCTCAGAGCCTGGAGCCTGTGTCAGATTCTGTGTCTCCCTCTCTCTCTGACCCTCCCCCATTCATGCTCTGTCTCTCTCTGTCTCAAAAATAAATACACGTTAAAAAATATTTAAAAAAAAAATAAAAAATAAAAAATAAAAAAAGAGCTCGGACTACTGAACACTGAAACGGGTAACCCAGGAGTTTTTTTAAAAGAAAAAGAAACCTGGGCCCCTGCCTCCAAGGAGGTTATGTGGGAGACACCTGCATGCAAGTGGCCCTAGTAATAATTTAATGCCTACCGTGTTCCATGCTTCACATAAATTAACACTTTAACTCTCTTATCAAGCTTGCAATGTAGATACTATTTTGATCTCCATTTTACATTTGAAGAAACGGGGCCTAGCGAGGTTAAATAATTTGAGCACACACAGCTGGTAAACGAGAAAGCCAAATTTCAGACCTGGAGGCACGAGGTCAGGTTCTTACCCCTCAAACCACCCTGCCACTTAACCTACGAGGGACAGACAAGAGAGTAAGAGACACAGGTGGGGGTGCAGGAGGGGGTGCTGGAGGAAGAGGTGTGAGGAGCATGTAGACGGATATGATCAAAGAATCATTTCGGAGGAAAAGAAGGACAGGGGTTGGAACTTTATATTTGACTGACAGTTCCTGGAAAGAAGCAAAGAGGCCTTGTAACGGTTTTGAAAAAAAGATTTTCATTTCCCTCTGCTTGTATGTATGTATTGTGTTAACCTTCCCCTTGGTATCAGTTTTTCAGCAACCTGAAATTTGCAGTGAATCTCTCAACAAAAAGGCTATTCTGTAATCATAATTTAGTTTATCTGGAAAGTGTGACTGCACTTCTCAAAACACAGACATGACTTCTCAACAGCCATGGTTATTTTGGAGGTTAAACACCTGGATAAAACAGGAAATAGCTGCCTTGTTCCTAGTTATCTAAATTTAAATTTAATGAAATCTAATGAAAAGACGTGTTTTTACCCTTTTTCTCTTGTTTCTCTGCAGTTTGGCCCAAATCGCCTCAATAGTCTCCCAGTTGTGATTTACACTTCAGCGGTTAGGAAAGCTGAACACCGTTGGCTCTGAAAAACGAGTAAGCACAGAAAATGGGAGGAAAGGTTTTGCATTTGGTCAAAAGTATATTCCTATAAAATTCTATGCAGACAAAGTAAAGGGATGTTATTTGATAGAATGTGCTATTTGAAGCAACAACTTTTGGTTGGAGGCATTTTACACTCATGGTCATAGACAAATATTGCCTCTCCTTTCCTTCCTTCTTTCACAACAAATGTGTATGTTAACTAGAAGCCGACTGTTTCAGGAGATGCTATATTGAATTGTAGGATAGTAAGAAAGTCGTGCAGCTGATATACTGTGAGGGGAGCAGCTTAACAGCAGCTTTAACTGATAATTCCTAGTTTTCTGCAGGCTCATTAGTGTGAACAGTGCGGAATTGGTGAAACACTGTCCTAATCAGTACAGTTGTAGGTTAGGCATTAGACGTTAGGGTTTCCAGAAATTGGACCCCTGATAGCTCTTAGAACTAGAGCCCATGTCTTATTTCACTGTCCCAAACCACTGGAAAAAATAATAGCCACAGCATGTTTAATTTCACTGTCTTGTAAGTATTTGGGGGGAAAAATCTTTTAAAATCACTTTTGGATTTTCATTAATATCTCTTATAATCTCTTGAGAAATTTCTAGCAAAGCAGCCAGCGTGTATGTGATAATCACAAGGTGTGGATTATAACGGAGTATACTTTTGTGTGCTTTTTATTCAGGTGCCTACCATGTCACAAGGATAGTATTCATAATTTGTGTTCTCCCTTCTCAGATTTTCGTAAAAATTGCCTTATACGTCTACGTTTTATTTGCCGGAACACGATTATAATTTTCCACTATTTGTGGACTAAATGGAGTTTCGGAATTCAACCCAGTGGTCACCTAATACTTCAAATAATGAAAATAACATGAAAAACAACCAAGTATTCTGCAACGACATGAAGTGTGAAAGTTTAAGTATTCTGGTGACAGCCTGTAACAAGAATGGAAAGTGGCATACCATTAATCAAGTTACTTGATATGTTGTAAAAAGGTAGAATTGGTGGAAAACACAGATATTTCCACGATATTCTCAAGACAGTAATGTCTGCAGGTATTCTTGTGGAGCCTTCGTGCTGAGGACCCTTTTGTCCAAAGCATTTTAAGAAGGTCTCCTGTGAGCCCTTTTCATTAATCACCGGCATAGTCCACACAGGAGTTTGCCAAAACGGCTGGAGGAGAGTCTTGTGTTGAGAGACCTTCAGAAACAGATGACAAGAGCACCCCAGCCCCGAGACGGGGTCATGTAGAGTGGAAATATGAGCTCCTCACCCTTGACCCCGTTGCCTCTTTATTTTGATTCCTTGAACAATGCACGGTTGGCAGGCACAAGCGGTGGCCGGTCCTTCTTTCTTTTGTTAGGCTTGGGAAAAACTCAGGGCAGCTCACTGTGACTCCCACCTAAGGGCTTGCCTGGTTTTTAATTAGAAAGAATTACAACTCACACCATATTTTTTCAAATCATGGTTTTTGAAATGACCCAAGCAATAACACATTTTTCAAATTTCCACAGTCACATGAACTTGTTACACAGCACCATTTATTTTATGAATGAGAATTTTTCGGTGGATCTGCTCGCGTATTTAAACTGTAGCTGTTGTGTGTCTCGGAGTTAATGTCTTTTCGAAGTGGTTCCACAAATGCTAGTGGACCCAGATCATAGGAGGACATTAAGAAAAAGGACTGCAACTCTAGAAGAACAAGATTAACATTATCTATATATATATATATATATATATATATGTCTTGGAGAAATAACAGCAACAAAAGTTATAGCAATTTCTCATACAACTACCCATTCAAGTATGACCCCGTAGCAAAAATTATAAGTACAGCTCTTTCTAAAAACACAGCTTAACCTAATTTACTACTAAAATAATCTGATCCCCTTTATAGTTGATGATTCTGAGATTCTAAAAGCTTGTGTATGTGTTGCCCCAATCAAGTGAGTTGCCATGGGCTTTTGTCCAAGGAAAATAAAAAAATGTAGCATACAAAGAAACTGTGGAGTAAATGTCACATGGCTTTGGTCCCAACAACTCAAAGAAGAATAAGCAGAGAGTTAATACAACTAACATTCTGGTACATAATACCAGAAAAAAAAAGAAGATCCTGCTTTTCTATTTTTCCTAGAGAAATATTTGTCCCTGACTTCCCTTTCTTTTTTTGTTTTTTGTTTTTTTCAGTTTTCCCCTACCACTTCTTCCTGTTCCCACACAAACAGAAATATTGAACTCACTGTTACCATTTTCAGTGAGAGCTGTTTCACTGGTTAGTATTTACATCCCATAATCTGCCTAAACTTTCGAAAAGTTCCTCGGGGTTATTATGGAGCTGGTGCTAGCAAATCTATGTCACATGCGGCCAAAGTAGTTCCATTTGTTCGATTGCAGCTCAGATTCAAGCACAAGCACCAAGGTTGATTATTTTCATTATGGGTTTGAAATTTTAACAATTCCCTTAGCATTTAATGAGACTTTAAAGTAGACTTCACACTTAGTGTTGTTTGTTTGTTTGTTTTTAAATTTTTTTTTTCAACGTTTATTTATTTTTGGGGCAGAGAGAGACAGAGCATGAACGGGGGAGGGGCAGAGAGAGAGGGAGACACGGAATCGGAAACCGGCTCCAGGCTCTGAGCCATCAGCCCAGAGCCCGACGCGGGGCTCGAACTCAGGGACCGCGAGATCGTGACCTGGCTGAAGTCGGACGCTCAACCGACTGCGCCACCCAGGCGCCCCCTAGTGTTGTTTGTTTTTTAGGCTACTCCATAAATGCTGCATCATCACCTCCTCAATTAGGTATGTGGCCAAAAAATAAATTAAATGGGATACTTTTCTTCTCTTTGGAACGCATGATTCCTGTCCTGGCACCCTGGAAAAGTGGAAGAATGCATTATGCAATTATTCGTTCATTTAAAAAACACTATGTCTATCAAAATACTTTGTGCCGTGTTATTTTTCATCTCAACTACCTACTGAAAAAATGGAAAGAAGCAGGTCTGGGGACAAAGATTATGGCATGTAAGGTGAAACATCCAAATGTCAAACTTTGGAAGGCAGTTAGAAGTGTGGGCCTGAAACCAGAGCTGATATCAGGAGAATGGACACGTTCACAGGGGAGATATTTTAGAGACAATAGAAAAGATGCTAGGACATATGACTTCCATAAACATCCTTATGTTTTTTCACAGTAGTAAAGATAAATTATTGTTTTTTTTCCAGATTTGAAAGCATACTGCAGCGCCTTTAATTTAAAGCAAAATAAGTCAGTCAGAAAGATCTCATACGATTTCATTCATATGTGGAATTTGAGAAACTTAACAGATGAGCATAGGGGAAGGGAAAGAAAAAATAAGATAAAAACAGAGAGGGAGGCAAACCCAAAGATACTCTTAAATCCAGAGAACAAACTGATGGCTCCAGGTGGGGGTGGGTTAAATGATGGGCACTGTTAATGTAAACGATGAATCACTGGGTTCTACTCCCGAAGCCAAGTCTACACTGCATATTAACTAACTTGAATATCAATTAAGAAATTTAAAAAATTAGGGGCGCCTGGGTGGCTCAGTCGGTTGGGTGTCCGACTTCGGCTCACGGTCCGTGAGTTCGAGCCCCGCATCGGGCTCTGGGCTGACATCTCAGAGCCTAGAGCCTGTTTCGGATTCTATGTCTCCCTCTGTCTCTGACCCTCCCCTGCTCATGCTCTGTCTCTCTCTGTCTCAAAAGTAAATAAATGTTAAAAAAAAGTTTTTAAAAAGAAATTTAAAAAATTTTTAAAAATAAAACATATTCTCTATATTAATATACTACTCTCTTTATCATAACCTAAGGGATTTCATAAACTGACATTTCCTAAGAAAACCTAAAAAATATCATGACACCGTGCCGATTTTTAAAAAGATTCATTTTCCAGTTAATTAAGCAGAGTTCAACATTGCCTCCTATCCTCTCTGTGCTTTTCATTGCGGCTTCTATTTTTCATGAGAACTCTCCCTTTTCAATTATTATTTCCTTTCCATTTGTCTTCAGCTTGGCCCCCTCTCTCTCACATGCCAAGGGTGGGTCCCCATCCCTATTTAAAAATGCTTACACCTCTCCAATTTACAATCAAACAAACAAAAACCACAATTCCGTCCCTCATTCCACCTCTTACCGTATTCCTTTTAACAGCTAAACTTCTAGAGTTTGGTGTATTTCCACACACCACTTCATTTGCACCCATGACAAGCAGCCTTCTATGTCTACAAACCCATGGAAATTAGCATCACTAGCAACTCCCCGCTGGCTAAATCTAACCTAAATCCCCAACCTCACTCACCTCTGTAGCATATGACACTACGGACGATTTCTTCTTCCCCAGACTCCTCTGACAGCACACTGGTCTGAGCCTCCTTCCCATCCTTTTAAAAACTGTGTGTCTTGAAATTGTTCTGAACAAACCAAAGTTGCAAGAATTATGTAAATAATTCCCTTTACCCAGAATCACCTGTTTGTAATATGTCGTTTCTTTTGTCCTGTCTCTTCTTCTCAATAGATGATAGGTAGATAATATATACCAAGTTTTTTCCTGAATGTTTTCAGCCAAAGTTACATACTTCCCATTACCCCATGTCACTTCTATACGTATTTCCTAAGAACAAAAATATTCTTGTACATCTCCACAGTACAATGATCAAATTCAGGAACTAAGTATTGGTATAAAACTGTTACCAAATACAGTCCATTTTCTTAATGAAGTTTATGGCTTCTTTCTTTGTACAGACTTTTGTGAAGAATTGCACAATGCATTTGCATAACTCTGGTAGACTATTTAATATGGACAAGTTCCTCAATCTTTCTTTGATTTTTTTAAGCCATTGACGTTTTTTAAGAACATAAACGAATTGTTTTATAAAATGCTTTTTACCTTGTGAGAGTTCTCTCGTTTTCTCCATATTCAATTCAACTTTAAACATTTTGGGCTGGATGAGGAATGTTATCTGCTTTTCAGAATATCAGATCTGGTGGACCATAATGTCCATTTGCTCCTTACTAGTGATATTAATTTGGATCAATTGGTTAAAGCTTATCTCCACTGTATGCTTATTATTTCTCTCTTTGTAGTAACAGTTGAGTGTCATTATTCAAAATAGTTATGTGTTACAGACTTTCTGTGAACACTGACTTAGCAAGTACTGAACATTGCTTCCAAAGGAAATACAGGGTTAAGTGTCTGAGAGCCTCTAATCATAACATTTTCATCAACCAATCAATCCATGACTTTGTTTTATGAGTATTTCCATTTGTTTATTCAAAGACACTTTACTCAATATATGTTGTCAACTCATTAACATTAATTGAACACGTGGACAACATTGTAATTCATGCCTGAAGAAACTTATCTAACAGTGTTTTCTCCACGAGTCACATTATAATGTTCTCACCCTTAAGACTTTCACTTTGGAGACAAGGTAAACAGCAAAATAACCAGCTCACTTGGTTAAGCATCCAACTCTTGATTTCAGCTCGGGTCGTGACCCCACAGTTTGCTGGTTCGAGCCCCAGTTTGCGGGTTCTGTGCTGACAGTGCACGAAGTCTACTTGGAATTCTCATCCTCCTCTCTCTCTTGCCTCTCCCCCTGCTTGCGTGTGTGCTTTCTTTCTCCTTTCACAAGATAAATAAACTTTAAAAAAAGTTTTAAAAACAGCAAAACAACCAATAAAAAGCACAAAAATACAAAAACTTGACAATAAATATACCTTGAAAAAGACTCTTGTTTACAGAACGACAGCTGAAATAAGAAGGCAGAGTATTGCCCTGTTCAACCTCAGACGAGAATGTGCACATTGGGGACTTCAGACTTTTTACCCTTTGGTGCATATCCATGAATGACTGAGAAAATGCTGTGAGTGTTGAACTTGGGGTTACCTCCTTTTAAGGAGCAGGTGAATTCACAAATGTGGAATTTGTGAATAAGGAAGATGAACTGTAATAGTAGTTTGTGAGGAGATACTTGATATTATGTAAATAGACTGAACCTCATTTAACCTCTACACTCACCCTTGATTCTTTCTTCAATCAGTTTTTACAGTTATGGTTGCACAGTAGTGATTCCATCATTCTTTCTATATTTATTAATCAGCACCTCGCTGTTAAGGAACAAGTTTCCCTTCTCCTCTATCTATCTATCTATCTATCTATCTATCTATCTATCTTCTATTATTGTCAGTAGAAACTCGTGGAATCAACTTTTATTTAATGAATTCTAGTATATTACTATTGTCTGGGTTTATGGGAGTCCCTTCATGTTGGCTCCTGGATCCTTATGGCATTTCTACACCATCTTTTCAGTACCTATCTCCAATACCACCAATATTTCAAGCTTATCTTGAATCTTTCCTTACCTCCTTTGTCTTAGAAGTAGCCATCTTCTCAAGCACTGTGGCTTATTTCAGTGGGGAGTGTTCAGTGGAGAATGCTTCTTCCTGTCTTCCTCCCCTTGATGCCCTTTCACAGTCTCTTTCTGAAGTAGTCTTCTTCTGCCACCCCTTACATGCAGGGGTCTTTACGTTTCTGTTTTAGGCCTCTTCTCTTTGTACCTAAATAACTGCATCACATCCATCGCTGCATTTCTCTCTTGGGCATAGGAGCTGCCAACCCGACTTCAAAGATACTTGAGTGTCACAGATACTCAATCGATGAACACTTTTATGACCATGGGATAGGGATTAAGTCATCCCAAATTGTGTTTTACTCTGTGAATATGCTACTTTTGATGGATATTCTCTAGCCTTCAGTATATCTCGCTATATGTAATAATTCATCATGTCAGAATGGGTTCCTATTGTGGCCCCTTTCTTAGTTTTAGAATTATGTTTCCTAGAAAATTTGAACAAATCAACAAGTACGATTGTAAGATAACATACAGGACACCAAATTAAATTCAAATTTTGGGTAAACAATCAGGAAACATGGGAAACTATGTCCCAAATGAGCTTTAAAATTCCATGATTTATCTGAAATTCAAATTTAACTGGGTGTCCTATATTTCTATTGCTAAATCTGATTAGCCTAGTCAATAGATTATAAATATTTAATAGAATATAACATACGAAGTTATGTAAGTCACTCTCATATTATCTCAAAGTAAAAAGTAAAATTGTGTTGAAAACTTATCAACTGGTACTATAGAAAAGGATGAGAAAAAAAAAGAAGATACAATTTTCCTGACAGGAGCCTCTGAATTACAATTTAATTTAAATTTAAAAGGTTTTTAAACATATATACAAATAAATTCAAGCACTGTTCATCACTGTGATGATGTAGCAGTAGCAGTGTTCCTCATTCTCAATGGTTAGTCGAGTGGGTTGGGCCACATGAAATAAAGCAGAATATGATTTGTGGAGGATGCCGGGTAGTTGGTGCAGGATGACATCTAATCTGCACCAATGCCCCAGGTCAGCCCTCTTAGAGGTAAAGACCTTTGCTTCCCAAGTACACACAAAGATTTGGACGGAGTGGAAAACTCTGTTGGGTAAACAGAAAACAACACCAAAAGACCAAACAGTGGAAAGTACAAACAATGGATGTAATTTAATTCTTTCAATACATAACCCCAAATTCTAACATGTGAATTTTTGCAGTAATAATAAAATGGTTGAGGTAAAAGTGTACTCACTGATGTGGATTCATAGTGTGATGTTGCAGTTTGTTTTTCTATCAAAGAAGAAAGAAATAACCAATTAATTCAAATGTGTCATACCAGAATTGAGAACTTCAGTACAATCTCATCAAACTCACCTTTTTACTGGAATGTGCTTGAGTTTAATTAAAAAGAACAGATTCCAACTTTGAAGGTGTAAATTTCAGTTACCAATTTAAATGGGAAATACTCTAAGTTTTTAGTTAACCAGGCATAGGCTATTTCTATTTTCTCTTAATAAGTTGACTCGACATTGCAAGTTTGTATAACTTGTACTAGAGTAATGGGTAGGAAGTTTAAGAGTCCTAATATTATATGACATTCAATTCTAGTTTATAAAATAAAATGGAGAAAAATGATAAAAAGAATAAAGAAAAAACTCTAGGGATATGATTCTCTCAACATGTATGCCATTTGAAAGTCATTATGGATAATAGTTTGCTGGGATGATGATTCTTTATTGACTTAAATTAGTTTTTATCTTTGTAAGAAGTCTACCTTACTAATTCTTTCATTAGCATCTACTGCATGCATGATTAACAACTGTATTCCTATTGTGGATACAGAGGCATGGTGATGGCCCCAAGAAGCCTAGGTCAATGGAATAGAAGCCATGGTTCTGTGTTGGTAAATGAGGTAGAGATACTGTAAATATTTCTACTCAATAAACTCTTAAGTTGTGTATGATTTTGATAGTTAAAAAGATGTGCTTAGATGTCCCCTTTCAACATATTTCTTGGTACAGTACTAGCCTACAGCAAGTGGAAAGGAAAGTGGCAAGTAGAGTTTTCTCCTTGACTTCTTTATTAAATGATAAATGAAGCGTTGATCTTTGCTATGTAGACATGCTTTTGTATGAGATATGCTTGACAATTCTGAAGAATTAATGGAAATCCGTATTCCATAAATCATTAAAACGTTTTCCTAGTTTGAGAGATTGTGACACATGGCAACAATATAGATCTGGTAATGGCGAATCTTACTCATTTAGTGCTTTTCTGGGATTTCATTATTTAGCTCACACTTTCCATAACAAAGTTCTCAATGGGAAATTACTAATCAATGAGCATAAAGTTTCAAGCAAGCAAGATGAATAAACTCTAGAGATTTGCTGTATAACATTGTACCCATAGTCAACAGTAATGATTTGTAAACTTAAAATTTTATTAAGAGGGTATTTAACATAGTACTGGAAGTCCTAGCTATAAGCAATCAGACAACAAAAAGAAATAAAAGCCATCCAAAGTGGCAAGGAAGAAGTCAAATTTTCACTTTTTGCAGACAACATGATACTCTATACAGAAAACACAAAAAACTCCACCCAAAAACTGCTAAAACTGATAAATGAATTCAGTAAAGTCACAGTGTACAAAATCAATTCTATACACCAATAATAAAGGAGCAGAAAGAGAAATTAAAGAATCTATCTTATTTACAGTTGCATCCAAAACAATAAGACTCCCAGGACTAAACCTAACCAAAGATGTACCCTGTACATCTGTACTCTGAAAACTGTAAGAAACTGATGAAAAAATTGAAGATGATACAAGAAATATAAAGACATTCCATGTTCACGGATTGGAAGAACAAATATTGTTTTAATGTCAATGCTACCCAAAGCAATCTACATATTTAATGCAATCCCTATCAAAATACCACTAACATTTTTCAAAGAGCTAGAATGAACAATATTATAATTTGTATGGAACAATAAAAGACCCTAAATAGTCAAAGCAACCTTGAAAAAGAAAAGCAAAGCTGGAGGCATCACATTTCTGGACTTCAAGTTATACTACAAAGCTGTAGTGATCAAAATAATATGGTAGGGACACAAAAATAGACATATAGATCAATAGAACATAATAGAAACACCATAAATGAATCCACAACTATATGGTCAGTAAATCTTCAACAAAGCAGGAAAGAATATACAATGGGAAAAAGACAGTCTCTTCAACAAATGATGTTGGGAAACTGTTGGGAAACCAAATGGTGTTGGGAAACCAAGCTACGTGCAAAAAAAAATGAAACTGGACCACTTCCTTACACCATACACAAAAATAAACTCAAAATGGATGAAAGACCTGAATGTGAGACATGAAACCATTAAAATCCTAGAGAAGAACATAGGCAGTAACCTCTTTGACATTGGCCATAGCAACTTCTTTCTAGATACATCCCCAGAGGCAAGGGAAATAAAATCAAAAACAAACTATTGGGACTATATCAAAATAAAAAACTACTGCACAACAAAGGAAACAATCAACCAAACTATAAGACAACCTGTGGGATGTGAGAAGATATTTGCAAATGACATAACTGATAAAGGGTTAGTATCCAAAATATATAAACAACTTATCAAACTCAACACCCCAAAAATGAATAATCCAATTAAAAAATGGGCAGAAGACATGAACAAATGTTTTTCCCAAGAAGACATACAGATGGGCAATAGACACATGAGAAGATGCTCAACATCACTGATCATCAGAAAGAAATACAAATCAAAACTACAGTGAGAGATCACCTCACACCTGTCAGAATGGCTAAAATTAACAACACAAGAAGAAACAGGTTTTGGCAAGGATGTGGAGAAAGAGGAACCCTATTGCATTGTTGGTGGGAATGCAAATTGGTACAGCCACTCTGGAAAACAGTATGTAGGTTCCTCAAAAAGCTAAAAATAGAACTACTCTATGTTCCATCAATTGAACCACTAGATGTTTACCAAAAGAATAAATACTAGTTCAAAGCGATAAATGCACCCTGATATTTATACCAGCATTTTCAACAATAGCCAAATTATGGAACAGTCCAAGTGTTCATCAACTACTGGAATGGATAAAGAAGAAGTAATGTATATACATACACATACACACACACATATCTATATCTATATATCTATATCTAGATATAGATATATAATGTCATTGCCAATGGCAAGATTTCATTCTTTATATCAAAAAGATATATAAAATTCTTTATATCAAAAAGAATGAAATCTTGCCACTGGCAATGACATGGATGGAGTTAGAGAGTATCATGCTGAGTGACATAAGTCAGTCAGAGAAAAACAAATACCATATAATTTCACTCACATGCATAATTTAAGAAATAAAACAAATGAACAAAGAAACAAAAAAGACAGAGAGAGGCAAACCGAGAAATAGACTCCTAACTATAGAGAACACACTAACGGTTACCAGAAGGGGGGTGTCGAGGGTGGATTAACTAAGTGATGGGGATTAAAGAGTGCACTTGTTTTGATGAGCACTGGGTGATGTATGGAAGTGATGAATCACTATAATGTGATTCTAATATTACACCTGAATCTAATATTACACTGTATGTTAACTCTCCTGGAATTTAAATAAAAACTTAAAAGAATTGTTACAATGGTAGATCTCATGTTGTGTTCTTACCACGGCGAGACAAAATTTTTCAACGTTTATTTATTTCCTTGGGACACAGAGAGACAGAGCATGAACGGGGGAGGGGCAGAGAGAGAGGGAGACACAGAATCGGAAACAGGCTCCAGGCTCTGAGCCATCAGCCCAGAGCCCGACGCGGGGCTCGAACTCACGGACCGCGAGATCGTGACCTGGCTGAAGTCGGTAGCTTAACCGACTGCGCCACCCAGTCTCCCCCAAAATTTTTAAAAAAGAAGAAAACAGAACTATAGATTAACATTACAGTTTTTTTGCTGTTTGATGGCATTCAGAAAATAAATACCTAAAAGGCACTCAGATAAATGTTTTGGAAAAGAATCCTGAGATATCAGGATAGAAGTTAATTTTTTTAGTGAACTAAGTCAAATATAGAAATGTCTAACTTCCAAGGTATTTAGTCCATATAGGGCCCTAAGACTATTTTTTTCCCTTATCTAATCTCAGTGAACGCTGGAGAATGCTGTAGAATTGGAATGGGCTGTCTGCAGCTATCATACATACTATTGTATCTTTTCCACAAAGAGCCTGATGTGTCTGTTGACTGATAAAACTTTCATCTGCACGGAAAAACCTTGTCAGAATCCAGTAAATACCAGTACTTGGCACATCTCTTTTACACATGGTCTGAAACATAGGATCAGTGGGGCACCTGGGTGGCTCGGTTGATGAAGTCTTCGGCTTCAGCTCAGACCATGATCTCGGGGTCTGTGAGTTTGAACCCCGTGTAAGGCTCTGTGCTGACGGCTCAGAACCTGGAGCCTGTTTTGGATTCTGTGTCCCCCTCTCTCGACCCTTCCCCTGCTCTCTCTCTGTCTCTGTCTCTCTCAAAAATAACTAAACGTTAAAAAAAAATTCTTTTAACATAGGATCAGTATTTATATACAGCTGCAAGTAAGTT